TGAGTGGCTCAGCTAACATTCGTACTTCTCTGGGAAAAGCCGTGAGCACCTGTATGGCTCCGGCTTTTATCTTGGCTTCCAGTCCCTCCTCAGTGCCAAATTCATCAGTTTGTGAAATTTTGTAAAGAGGTAACACATGGAGCTGTTCATCGCTTGGAATCACCCCCACTCTCCGGTTATCTTCCTTCGTTAATGTACAAACCTGGCAAGAACAGAAACACTTACAAATACAGACACATACATAAAATACAAGACTTAACTGCAATGCTTAAGCAGTCAGCCTAGACCTCATTGGTTCCTCATATTTTGTAGCCTCAATGCTATGAGTCTTTCAGATGTAAACATGTGACAAATATCTTATTTGATTTACGATGATGCAAAAATATTATCGGTACTGGAAGACTAAGATCAAGGCACATGTCTTGGACAGGAAAGACGAAACTCTGGCTCAGCTTACATTGTCCACAGCCATGTGCCAACCTTGGTAAATAACCTGACTCTCAGACTGCAAATTCCTAAGCATTCTTTGTTTTTAAAATACATATCTGGTGCTCAGATTCATTTTTAAGGACTAAAAATATGAAAAAATAAAATAGTTTTGAACAAGAAGTTTCTATGACATGGAACTGGTTTTGCTTTGGCCGGCAGAAAAAAATCAAAACCCAAAAACCCCAAACCTACAACAGTTATTTGTACTGCTCTGTACTTCTAGCAAATCTCAACTCTCACCTCTCACTCCTGCGTTCCATGTTTATACACATTTTTTTACCCTAACACCCCCTCCCAGCTCTTGACTGCCTATGTAGTGAAGTCGTAAGACCACGGGATGCTAGGTTTCTCTTAGGCCACTGATCTACTTTCTCTTATGAAATTATGTGCTGTGACATCCTGAAGCTGAGAGGAGAATCCTGGTTAGATCCATTTTGATAAGGGCACTTCAGAAATGTGGATAAACATTCAAACTCATTGCAACAGTTTCCATATTACAATTTTTCTGAATCACTCCTGAGCATCTGCAGTACTTAGCACTTGTAGAGTTCTGGCTGTTATTATGACTAACTTCATCTTACAGGAAGTGCTAAAACCAGCTGTGTGCTTCCTGGTTTCTTTCTGTGCTTTCCAAGGGATGGCAACAGTTTGACATGTATGAGCAGGTGTACAAACAGTCCTGCCATTTGTAATTTTACTGACTACATTCATGAGAGAATACTGGTCTGTACAACAACATACTACGTCTCTAGAAAGCCATGCATTTGATATCATGGCTTGGTTAAGCTTCTGTTTCACAGAGGGTTACTAACTACCCACAGGAACATGAGCAGCACCATCCAAGGATAAGATGATACTCCCTAACTGGAAATGTTATCATTCTATTATTGTGCAGGCTGAATGTGACGCTGATCATAAACAGTTAATCCAATGTCCCAGAATCTTGTCACCATGCCTAAGATTCCAGGGGGGAATAATAATAATACCGGCAGGAAGGGGGAGAGGATAAACAAACATTTTTTATTTTATAGCACGGCTTTACACATAAAGACATCACACAATTATTTCCAGAATAATAAAATTACAGAGTCACAAACTAAAAATCCTAAATCAATAAGGTGGTGGTTAGGGCTTTATAAATAGCTATATGCAAAGCTTGACAGTTGCAGAGCAGCAAAAGGAGAACATTTGAGAGGCAGAGACAAAGGAGAAGAGCTTTTCAGGTGGCATTTTGAAAGGATTGAGAGAAGGGCAGTTAGAAGCTGATGAGTAGCATTTACTGATGTGCTTGCTCCATGCGCACTTACCTCAACTGGGCAGCCTTTGGACTACGAGGAAGATTTAGAAAAAACAACAAGTTGTTCCATGAGCAGCGAATGATGCCTAGTTTTCTACGGACATCTCATCCCCACACTCCCACACACCCAACCCCAGCACCATTAATCCCTGCTCCCTTTCATGCCCTGCTACCACCTCCACTGGGCACCAGGCAGTAGGAGCAGGGCCTGGCTGAAGCTTGGTGCCTCCCAGCTACTGGGCCAGCAGGTATACGAGGATTAACCTGGGGCCATGGCTGTGAGAACCCTGCTGCAGCCTCCTCAGCAGAGGAGCTAACCTGGATCCGTCTTCCCCACACAAGTAAAACTCACAACTTGGAACAAGAGCTTAAAATCCCCAAAGACAATTCAACTTCTGCAAAGTTCAGTGAAATCTGGTTGAAATTTGTCAGCAGATTCCAAGTTATTCAGGAAGAATAAAAGAGGGTAGGACATAGAGCACAATTACATATGACTCATGTTCTTAGAAAGCCTAGCACATCCTCCCCTTCTAAATTGAAAACAAAAGAGGTAATAAAATAAGCATGGAGTAGCCCAGCTCCCACTTGTTCCCATCAGAAACTGGGTGATTCTCACTTGCCTTTTAAAATATTCCATCCAACCTGTGTCTGGACCCATGCACTAGTCTGAAAATTGTCCCAGTCTTGAAGATTCAATCCACCATCTTGCTCATTTTGAAAATCAAAACACTAATCCAATTTATAGTTCTCAATTTTCATGTATTTCACCAGACATTTTAACAGAAAACGGATTTTGTGTATTTATTAGAGTTCTTTTCCATAAAAAGCTCTACTCTTAAAAATGTATTATTAATCTTTCATCTGACTTAAAATTACACAGCAGTCACCATACTTGGCACAGGGGGAGCGTACAGAGACAAAACCCAAAGCTAGTACAGACTGAAGAAAGACCTGTTTTCAGCATGAATGGGTATTTGTCATTATCGCAAAGCCAACACCTTCTTTAGAACAAGAAAGCCAAAGAACTGTTCTGAGAAACTAAAGATGATGAAGGCTGCAGTATATTGGCAGAACTATGCTGAAAGTACAGTCAACTACAAAAAATTAAATACTGAGCTAGAATACATAAAATTAAGTAATTAATGTCTATTAAAAATTATGTGAAAACCCTGAAGACCAGCACAACTACAGCCTAAATACCATGACAGCAGGTTTACTTACATTAAACTTCAACATCGGTGTTCCCCATAATATAATTTCATATAAAAGGAACGACACAATGGCAAGTGAGTAACTGAGAAGTTAATGTTAAGGGGAAACCATCTATAAGTTAAGGTCCTGTGAAAAGCTAGCAATTTGCAGCTGGAGTAATCCACCAAATGAGAAACATCCATTTCAAAAGTCCCTCTAATATTTAAATAGGCAAAATATTCCATTAAGAAACTTAAAGAGAAGCTATTGCTGAAAAGTTAAAAGCAACGTTTTCCGTCAGTACTGATGCTGTGCTGTGAACTGACCAACATTAAACCCAAACATGAGGATCATTGATGCTGCTGAAGCCTATTTACACTGTGAAGCTGCATGTCCTGCAACTGAAAATACTTTTTCTAGAATGTGCAGCTTAATCATCCAGGATGCTGAAAAGCCAAAGGAGATGTTAGCCAAGTGGTCTGTTTAGGTTTCCAGTGTGCTTAGTGATCAAAACCGTCACCTATTCTGGCTTAGTGAGGTCATGGTAAAACTTGCATATTTATACAACTTTACTTCTTTTAAACCCATGAACTCAATGGGACTGCCTCCACATAACTTCAGAGAAACATCTGTAGCCACACAGCTCCCAGAGTATTATTCTGGAACTTTGATTTGTCTTTGTCCTCTTGAACTTCACATGTAGAAATGATGTAGCCTTTTCCACTATGTTGTATGAACAGATGTTTTAAATTTAAGTTTCAGAAAAGAGTCAAATGACCTTTCTAAGTTTAAAAGATGAAATCAAGTTTCCTATACGTGTCTTCCTTCTGCAGACAGAAAGGAGAGTGGGTGCCATTTAAGACTCTGAGGTGATGCTGCATCATTGCTTACCATTACAGATGTGAACGTCACTTTTCCTTTACAGCTGAGATATGCTGTCATTTTATTGGCCTGTTACACCCTGAGTAAGTATGCATAAGACTGAGAGTCAGAGGAGGGAACCCCAAACATCTCTGCCCTTTGACCACTTAATACGCACAGAGGAAGTGCCACTAGACAGCATTTCTGTACCATATGCTGTCACACTGGTATGGCGCACAAACCGCTCTGCAGCAACTCACAGGTGACTAAAGTTAAACTTCTAACATTTCTCCATTTTCACAAGAAAAAGAACAGTAACAAAAATCCTTCCTTTACAGCCCTGTGAGGTTTATCTTTTCTCCTGTTTGTTATAATCTGAAGCACCGATTTAAGGATCTAGTACTTCTGTTGCTCACAGAGCAAGCTGGGCATGGTCCAGAGTGTAGTCTGACCACTCAGAGACATTCCATCACTTATTGCAAAGCTCTGGACCAACATGCAGTGACTTGATGAGCTGTAACTACAGAAGTACAGTAAGTTATTGTAAGAGCAAAGGATTATTTTAATAAATCAGGAGAGTTTGTTGATTGATTGCTCATTGACACTACTTAGTTCTGCTGCCAATAATAAATTTTGTGTCATAGCTGCTCTTGAAACACAGATATACCTTCTTCCCTTCTCCCACAGTGCCTGCTGCAGACTGCATAGCACCAGGGACTAGACATAATTGCAGCTGGACTCTCTCCTTTCTGAACCCCAGCAAAAAGGGAATGTGCCCCATAGGATGACAAACACCCACACTGATGCTACCAAACTAGTGACACCTTCACCAACCGAGTTGTTTTGGACAGTGTAAAACCCCGTATGTCAGGGATTTAACTGGACTCACACAGGTACAACGAATGTGATCCTTTGTAATTAATTCAATACATAAATACTTAATTTCACAGACTCCATTAATAACTATAAAGCTTTTTAGCTTTCTATCCACAATGAACACTGTACCCTAACACTGCAGTTGTAACATACATCCATGGCCCTTAGAAGAACATTAAAAGATGACAACAGAGTCTGAGTAAAAATGGAGGATGTATTTATTGACTTAAAAGTTCTTAAAGAACTCAGTTCAAAGACAGAAATAACTTTTGTTTCTTTCTTTCAGATAAACACATCAGTTTACACTTCTGTGGAACTGCCAAGTGCTTTCACTCTAATGCAGAGCAAACAGGGAATATTAATTTTTAATTTTAGGTCTGCTACATTCAGGGCGTGATTCTCCCAGCCAGGAAAGAACTTCAGTGAATCAAATCACCCATGGTAATGCTCAATTTGTGCAAGTTAAGATGAATTATTCTATCTTAGAATCATAGAATAGTTAGGGTTGGAAAGGACCTTAAGATCACCAAGATCCAACCCCCTGCCATGGGCAGGGACACCTCACATTAAACCATGCCACCCAAGGCTCTGTCCAACCTGGCCTTGAGCACTGCCAGGGATGGAGCATTCACAACCTCCCTGGGCAACCCATTCCAGTGCCTCACCACCTTTACAGTAAATAACTTCTTCCTTATATCCAGTCTAAACTTCCCTTGTTTAAGTTTTGACCCATTACCCCTTGTCCTATTGCTACAGTCCATGATGAAGAGTCCCTCTCTGGCATCCTTGTAGGCCCCCTTCAGATACTGGAAGGCTGCTATGAGGTCTCCACACAGCCTTCTCTTCTCCAGGCTGAACAGCCCCAACTTTCTCAGCCTATCTTGTATTTACAGTAGACATTTCCAGGACTTTTTTTCCGCCACTGCTAATGAAAATGACAGCCTCATTTATTTTCAGTCATATACAAATAATGCAGTTGAACATCAAAACATCTATACCCAGAAAAATACCAGAATGGTTTTTGGAAATTCTGGCAGAGACAGATCAGGGAAATTATTATTGGCAGCTCATTAGATAATATATTCTTGTAAGTGTACTGTAAACTCCGTGCTTATCATTAAACTCATGTGAGTGCTTTGCTGAACTCATGTTTGTGTTTGGTTTAAATAATTTAAATAGATTCCGGTTTTCCTTTCCTTGTGGTGCACTGTGCAGCATTCCTCTCATATTTGTGGTAAAAGTGATTCCCCAACAACTGAAGGGAGAAAATGAGAAAGTGTCGCTTACACCATGAGTAGCGGTGGTAAGAGCTCGCAGCATGTGAAAATGCCACTTCATGTAGTATTTATTTTAACCCTTTTAGCCCAGAGGAACTTTTGATTTTATAAATGAAGTTTCTGTGTCAGAATAAGGAGGAAAGGAAGAAATCTTACCAGCACTAACAAGGTGCAGGATGGCAAGTACACTTTGTACAGATCTTAAACTGTACAGTGTGACTACCATTTAAAAAAGTCATAGTACAAGAGGAGAATAGTAAATGAAGTTTTGTGTGTTTGATGTTTGTAAGGCAGTGCAAACCCTTCTCATTCTGTTATCACATTATCAGAAAGCAGTCACCTACATGAAAACTGTCACCGCAGTTAGATGTATTACTTGCATATAGAACATTTAACGGACAAAATATGTCATAGTTATGTAAATCATCATTATTATCAGTGATATATAAGAAGTCATAATGTATTTTAAACTAAGCAGGTAGCCAAAGTAGCTTCTGGAATACATGGGAGTACAGAGGTGACCAGGTAGATGCTGGAATGCATTTCTGTTTGTGTTCCTACCACAAGTTTTCAGACGTTAACACCAGATTTGGTTATAAACCAAAACTGACAATCCTAATTTCGATCATCATCATGTCATTCCTGCTGAATTCTGAGTCCTGCTACCCTATTGCCCTGGTGGAATAGAGTTTATTTTCTTCCTAGTAGGTGGTACAGTGCTTTGTTTGGCTTTAGTCTAAGAACAATGCTGATAACACACAGATGTTTCAGTTGTTGCTCAGTAGCACTTACCCTGGTCAAGGACTTTTCAGTCTCATGCTCTGCCAGTGAGGAAGGACACAAGAAGGCAGGAGCTATAGCCAAGACAGCTGACCTGAACTAGCCAAAGGAGCATTCCATACCACAGCACATAATGCCCAGTATATAAACTGGGAGGAGTTACCTGGAAGGGGCTGATGTATCGGTCAGTGGGTGGTGAGCAGTTGCATTATGCATCACTTGGGGGGTTTTACCATTAATTTATTTTTTCCAGATGTGCATCCTTTGATAGAGAAATTATTCTTGACTGTCACCTCCACTGATGTACAAGATGTCATCCTAGCTATTTAGAGCACTGCAGTGCTCTAACTACTAAAAGAATCAGATTGCCAGGTTTATTTTGCCTTTTCTCTTTTGAGCTTGTCTGTCTTCAAGACCATGGTCTCAATTTCTAACCAATTCCCAAATGATTTTCTCACTAGCAATCCAGCAAGGTATTTGATACACCAGGCACACCAAAACCCCCATATCTGTGGGTTTTCCTTTCATGCTGAGATTTTAAGATCACAAAAGTGACCTGACTCCACCATGACTTTCTGACTAGTAACTATACTAACGTGAAGCCTCATAACAGGGCAAGAAAAAGTGAATTCGATGAGAATTGACCCTGGGGGATGTAAACTAATAACAATTCAGTTTGTTATCTCTTCCTCTACAGAGGTCTGTACAACTCCTTGGTTAATTATTATTTGCCTCAAACAGCTACTGTGAGTATGTCATCTGTCCCATGGCCAGTCCTGGGTGTCTTACAATAATTAAGGTGTTTTGTAGGAAGGATCACTCCCAACCCTTCCTGATCTGCTCTATAATAAGATGAACTTATGTCCTTTGTAGCCCAGTAATAAAAGTATGCAGATAACATGGAAATTTATAAATGGCAACATGCAGTTAATTTCATAATACCTTAAAAAACTTAATGCAAATGTACCCACCCAACCAAGCAGCATTTTAAAACACACAGTAATCACAACAGTAAAGAGTGCAAATGAGAAAATCCTGCGTACATACCACAGTGCTTCCATTGTGCATGTTATGTGTGTCCTTGTGGGCATGGGCACAGAAATCTATGCAAGCTGTTACCCCAGAAAAAGGCCTACCATCCTTGGATCCAAGTCGACAGTCTGGGCCCATGTGTTCATTTTCCACCTAAAAGTAAAATAAACTACAGGTACTTGGGACTGAAAATGAGTGACTTGGAACTTCATGAGCCACAACTGCACTTGTGATTGAATAAATGCATCCTGTAAGAACAACTGGAAAGCACATATTTTCCCATGAAACATGCAACACTTATGACTGGATATCAAAGAGATAATGAGCTCAGCCACAGTCAAAATGTCTTTAAATGGTAAAAACATTTTACTTACAGTATTATCATAAGCCTTTTATGTGTGCACAGCTCAGAGCATAACTTAATCACCAGATGAAATAAAAAAGGTGCAGTATTATAAAACTAGCCAAACAAAGCAACCACTGTAAGCAAGCAATGGGATTCACAACAGCTGCGGCTTCTACACGTGAACACACTGTAGGGTTTCATCTTGTTTTTAAACCACACTGCCTGTTCAGAGGTACAGCTAGACCAGCTGAATGTCACAGACCTACCTGGTTCTGGAAGGCTTCAGGAGCAAGCTTTTTATAAACTGGAGCCACATCAGTAGCTAAGGTTTGCAAATTATTTTCAAGAAGTTCCTCCTGTAGAGAAAGGCAACATTTAGAGTGCTTTAATTTGCTTTAAAAGAGTCTAACCCAGGTCAGAGATGCCTGACAAATCAGCCTGTGTCTAATACTTTATTAATCTTCTGTTCTGTTGCCATTTGTCACTAACTGTAAATAAGTCTACTTTTGCATGACTGAAGTACCAAAATTGTTAAATATAAATCAAGCAAATAACAATGGAGAATATCTGATAGGGCAAAGAAACCCAACACAGAAGGAACTAATTTCTCCATCTTCCCCCTTCCAATACATATACAGTCAAGGAATGAGGTATGTTCCACACAAAATGGAGAGGTAATACCTAGTGGATAAAAATTACACCACATGCTGAGTGGAGCCCCAGGTCTTCTCTTAGTGTTCTGCTTATGCAGCCTTGACTTATGTTGATACAGCTTTGCTAGAAGCCTAAGTTTCCACTGCCTTTTTTCTTTAAAGCATATGAGTAACTCCCAATAGCATTTAGCATTAATTTCAGCTCTTGGGGGAAGAATTACATTTTCTAATACTGCAACAGAACTCAGATCAGGAACATTTGTTAACTATTTTGTTTTTTGGAGGTGCAAAACTCAGGGTTTTATGGAAATATCTACTTGTCCTGGGTTTAGCAGTGGCAGTCGTTTTTTTCTTTCTTGGTAGCTGGTGCAGGGCTGAGTTTTGACTTTCGGCTGGGAACAGAGCTGAAAAACAATGATGTTTTGGTTTGGCCAAAGACTTTGTGGGCCTCATGCTCTGCCAGGGAGGAGGGAAGCTGGGAGGAAGCAGAGACAGGACACCTGACTCAAACTGACCAAAGAGGTATTCCATACCACAGCATGTCATGCCCAAGATGGGCTAGAGTGGACTGCAGGGTTGGAGGAGGTATCGGTCATTGCTTGATCGGGCTGGGGGGCAAGTTATCGGTCGGCTGGTGATGGGGTGTTGTGTTCTCTTCCCTTGTTATTTCCTTTATCATTACTATCATTGGTGGTAGCAGTAGTGATCTGTGTTATACCTTAGTTACTAAACTGTTCTTATCTCAACCCGTGGGAGTTGCATTCTTTTTGATTCTCCTCTCCGTCCCTCCGAGAGTAGGGGGAGGGCAAGAAGTGGGGGGAGTGAATTAACAAGCTGTCTGGATGGTTTTAAACCACGACACTACTAGATTTGGAAGTAATGTTCCTTTCCTTGGGGTAAGCCATATAAACACAGAACTAGTTAGGTGAGCTTCTATGGCAGAGTAACATTTAAGGTCTTATTTATAGAAACAATCCCTAAATGCTTTTCCTAAACTTTTGCTTTTCCAGGAGAATGACCAACTAACTGGGAAATAAAAAATGGTGGCGACGTACTCCCTACTTTGCTCTCCTCCAAGAGCTGGGCTTTGAGAGACAACCACAGCTTCAGCTTTGCATATTGCATAGTGGCAAAAATAACAGCTTGTTTTAGTTTGTTTCCAAAACACTTATCACCATGTATCATAAAGACCAATGTATATAAACATAAGGAAACATCACACTGAAAAATGTGACAGTAACATTACAAAATGACACTGCATTTTTTAACTTGTACTATAGCCAGTTTACAACTGTTGATTGCTACAAGTTTTTCTGAACTGCATTGAAGGTAACACATCCTTAATTATCTATCCTATGAACTATTCTTACCTAGGTATATTATACCCTTAACCTCATCTCACTCCATCCAGTGCCTCAAATGATCCAAATCTTTCTGGACTTCGAACTATCTTCTTCTTAATTTTCTATACTTCCTAGTTTTATGTCATCTGCAAAATCATCAATATCCAATATTTAGCTAAAAGAAGTATCTGCTAGGAAAATTAATGACAAAATGAAACAAAGAGAAAAATTATTTACCAGTAATATAACGTCTTTTGAGATTCAGTGACAACCTGCATGGACACTGCAACTACACAAGCACCACTGTCACCTAGAGCTGGAGACTTCTGCAGAGTGGTAGGCTAAGGGCACGCATGCTTCCCTCACAGGCAAACACACTTGTGAAGTACCTGTCTGCTGTGCAACCCTCATCCCCGCTGCAGAATTCCAAGTAGTTTTTAAAAAAACTTCCATGGAAAAAGGAAAAAAAAGGAGTGCACTTTTAGATCACATCTAGAAAATGCCCTCATTAAGTAGCCTACTCCTGTAGGCAACTATTTATTCCTTCAAGAGAATTTAAAAAACATAGAAAAGCCAGTTTATTCTATGTGGCAGACAGAAGATCAAGTGTTAGCTGGTCAGACAGCAGTGTGAAAGCAGCACAACAACAAAGTTTTCTATGACCAGGCAAAAGGAGTGAATCTCTGAGGTGCAGGCTTGCTCTTAGAAAACACCTTTTGGTGTATTTTATACTTCCAAAGAATAAACATTTCATTAAGAGTTACACAGTGGAGCTAAATATGCATACAGAAAAGCATTTAACGACAATTTTATGGTATGTAAATACATAATAAATGACACTGAGATTTTCTACAGTGGAAAAATTATAAATACTGCAGTTATAAAACATTTATTTGGGTGCTTGTGTTATAAGCTATGCACACGTATGTGAGACAGAAGGGGTGGACATTTGTAGAGTCCATTTCCAGTTCTTAAAATCACTAGGCAAAGTATTTGGAGGGAAAAAAACAAACAATAAAAGAAGGAAAATGAATCTTACTTGTTTAGGGTCATCAGTGAGAAGCCTAAATTTCCTCGGGTTCTTGCTTCTGGCAAACTTACAGCCATTGAAATACATGCTCCATGAACAGCCAAATGAAAATGATGCTCCACAAGTTTCCGGATCAAGTCCTTGACATGCACAAGTACGACTATGAAGGAAATAAAGACACAGGAAGTCAGCTGACAACACGGCTTTTCTTTTTTTCTTTTTGGCAATGCTTTTTGCTATGTCTTTTCTAACACACAGCGTAACAACATGGGGAATTATAACACATATTGTTTAACCAGGTATTTTCTGTTAAGGAACTATCCATGTGTAGAGAAATCACTTTTTTGCCCCATAAATATAGTCTCAGCTCCCCAAAGCCCCAGTTCTGAGAAATAAATACATAACCCTCAGTCATAGCTATATATAAATACACCCATGCTACCTTGATTTTGACTTGTTGTGTCGGATAAAATTTTTATCCAAGAAAATACCTCTGCAACTCAAGGTTACCCCCAAATTCAGTAATTATTTGGTTATGTGCCCCAAACATCAAAGCGTAACAACTCTACTCAGCCTGACCCTTTGATCATTAGATTCAGGTCACTGTACAGCTATTAGAGTCTTTTAAATGTGGGTTGCACAAAAATCAGCACAAAGGCAGCACTGCTACAGAGCCTCAGTTGCAATATATTATCTAGACAATCAAACCAAATTCCTCTCAGAGGCATAGAGGTGAAGATCCTAATTTTGAGTGTTTCAAAAGTCACGTATCACCCTCTTAGCAGCTCTTCAGCATAGCCGTGCAAAGGGCACACTGACTGTCTTCGGGCAGTGTGTGCAATACCAGGAGAGTTCACTGCCACCCCTTTCCCTGGGTGTAGCATGTACAACTATCACTTTGAGCCTGGTCTCTAGGAAAGACAGGAACTAAGTTCTATACTGAAATGACACCTAGTGGTTTGTAATTTTAAATGAGATTTTGCATATTTATTTTATTAAGCAACTGAATTCTCGAGTTATTTATTGCAGGATATACAACATGCAACATAACCATCACTTACTATTAAAGTAACTTACTCTTCGTTTAATGCACATCTACGGCTGGTGGGACAGCCGTATTTTCTGAGACTCTGTGTCAGTTCTTTGTACAGTGTATCAGCCAGGAGATGAGGGATCCCTTCCCAGGCCAATATGAGAATCACGATGACGGCAGTTTGACAGTGATGTCCTGCACGCTGACGTACCAAGCACAGCAACTTTTCCTCATCACTACTTCTTCGTATCACCTGGAAGAATCATTTTGTTTATTCTTTGGTAAGTGTAGGAAACATGTAATATGCTTCTCTTCGATGGGACATGCAAGGCCTGGAAGAGTAAGAAATACTGCTGCCCAAACAGTGCCTGCCCATCCACAAGCATGTCTGGGACAGCATCATACTCTGATCTCTGGTGTACAACATGATTTTGTGTTGCCTGTTTACCTGTAGAAGAAATAGCAGTACAGGAATATTTAGGTGTTCTATGCAAACAAACAAGATTCATTAAGAGGAAAATAACCACTAAATGGAAATAAAAATCCTGAGACAGCAGATCCACTGGGAACCCAACAGCCAGATTGGAAATGATGCAGGAAACTTACTGCCAAATCCCAGAATGCAGCTACATGAAAACACACCACAAGAGCACACATATGCATGTGGTTTGGATGCTTACTGCAGTTGTTATAATGACATAAAATGGTTTCCACCTTGCAAAGTAAGCTTAGAAGAAAGCAATGAAAATAAACTCTGTTCTTAGTGAAGGAAGCAACAAGATATTCAGAACGTATCCTTAGATGACGTACATTAAAGTTCTTTAGCAGAGTGCTGAAGCTTTTACTAAACTGCGTGTGTCAGCCTTATCCATAAAACACAAAGACTAACACAATATGAAACAGTACAATATACCACTGAATAAATGGGGGTGGAGGGTGCGGAAATCAGATACCTAGATAGTCTTACTCACACATATCCATGTTTTTTTCACAATTAGAAACAGAGTTGCATTGTAAAAAGACAAAAAACTGCATTAAAGCTAGGTAATGCTAGAGCATTATCTTTGAAGGCATGTTTATTCTTCCAATGTGTTTTAACAGGCATAGCCTGTATGAGGCATCCAACAAAGGTGTCAAGACCCCAGTGTTAAGTTTCAAACACATTAGGCTGGGACTTGGGCAGTAGAGGCTAAATCTTCCTCGTTGGCTCTATCATATACAGGATGGGGACCAGCAAGTCTGTCTCCCTTTCTGCTTGTAGATGGCGAGCCCTTAAATTGCAGATATTCTCTGCCAGCTCCATAGCAATATGGACACATAGTTGTGTCAGGGCACAAAGTTGGTCACCCAGCCTTTTCACCCAACTCCCCATTTGCCACTAGCAAAATTCCCACAGATATGTTAGTAGTCACAGATGATAGAAGCACGAAGGTAATGGAATTTCACTTACTCTTTGAATACCTCCAAGTATCTGAGTTTTCAAGCATATTCCCTATTGAACTAACATCAAAGCTTCTCTGGTTGCCAGACGTGCAGCTGTCATTCATATGTGACCCCTAGCCTGATCAGCTCTTAGTATCTAAATTACTTGATCTCATTAAAAGTGGGGACCAAAGTACGGTTGCAATTAATCTGTAAATGAGAAGGTTTTCAATAGATGAACAGTTTCAGAGGGAACCTGTGCAGGCTTAGTAGGAAGAATCAAGCTTAGAGTTAATTTGTGTCAAGAGAGAAAGTATCACCACCCTAAAGTTAATCACAACCTCACAATCCAATCAGCCTTAAAATAATGGCAAAACAAGCAAATGGCTCTGAGATACCAGTCCTAAGAAGGAGTCTTGGTTGTGACTGACCAACCAGTACAGTATTTTTAATAAAGAAAAAAAATGAAACACGTATACATTTGAGTAAGGTTTACAGAAATCCATTATGGCTGATATACAATACAGGTTATTCATGTCAGTGTTAGTTTTACATTCCTGAGGCAGCACAGTTCCTTGAAGTCAGAAGGAGAGGAATTTAATTCTGTTACTCAGCATGAACAGCATGAAGGATGATGCTTGTACTGTTTTTTTTTTTTTTGTTTCTAGACTTTCACACTTCGATAAAGAAACTCGGTACCTCTTAGTTTCTCAGTACAATATCAGGTTGCCCTTTCTGAGTTCTCATATAGTTCTAAACTGAAAACACATAGTCCAGACACACAACCCAGGAAAAATGACAGACAACGAAGAGGAAGAAAATCTATACTTTTCTTTAAAATAACACCATACTTCCCAGAGTTAAACACAGCTGGAATCTGATTCATAATGCATGCAGTAGAGAATGCACCACTCTTACTTGACCCAAAAACATTTTATAATCCATCATCCTTCAGGTCACAAAGGCAGGTAATAGATTTCCTAGTTGTCTCATCTGACTACTACAGCTGAAGTGCTTCTGTCCATGTGTGCGGTAAAAAGACAAGGCACTTTTCTCATTTGACTGTTTTGGTTTTAGAAGAGTACAATTTGCATTGAAACAGTCACAGTTCCTCCAGGCCCACAGGCAGTGTCAGGACAGACCAACCTGAAGCCACGTTGCTTTTCCCGTATAAAGCGATGATACCTCATCATATGCTATAGCTGACATTCCCAAAGTGGCAATACCTCTCTTTGGTAATAATAATTTGGATACACAATACCATAAATATCATCCTTGTAGAGTGCACATTTGGGCAGGATCATTTATTTTGATCATATTCAAAATCAAATTTTGTACATCCCTCTGGCGCACACTTTTCATACCAAACTTGTTCTGAGTTATTCTGGCTATCCACATATCTTTGTTTATGTGTACATCTA